ATTTCACGTTTTATAGCTTAATATAATTGATATTTTAGCTATTCACTCTAATTTTATTTGTTCTTTCATAGATTTCGAATCATAGTAGAGTCGTATTATTCAATGAAAGTCCAAACTAATGAAATTAACCATTTATTTAGCCAACATTCCTGTTGCAAGTTTAGATATGAAACAACTGGTTGGAATGTATGAAATATTCATGTAACTTGATTGGTGTATGAATGAAACAGTTCATTTAATTTCTATTATCTATGAGACTATTTCGGATATTTGATTGAAATGTTCTACATTTGAGATATGCAATAAAGCACAAGGCCTGCTTTATGTTCATTATCTGATTTCGGAAAGATCATCGGTGTGTTGGATATGTACACTGTACACCATATTAATCAAACTCCATTTCACTTTTATCAACATTTACACGATAAAAGCCTCAAATGACTGATTTTTTTATTGACGCTATTCAAATTTCAAATTACCTACCATAAATTAATAACTGAGGTAATACTTCAAGTTTTGTGATGAAACCTTTTCTCTATATATCCTTTTCAAAACTTTATTAATGTATGAAACATTCAGAAAGTGTTTCTGACAACTCTGAGCTAGCGGTCAACTTCATTTTCATTCTCAAATGCCTTTTTTATCTTATTTTTGTACCTTTTCTATATACGATAGAAGTAGCCGATACTTGAGGTGAAAATCTGTTTTAAAGGCGTGTTCAGGTGTGTTCAATTGAACATCACATCCAAATGTGTTCAGTTGAAGAAACTATTGTATGATGAAATATGCGGTTTTGTAAAGTCTTTAGAGAAAAATCATTGTTGAGTTTGGGAAAGTTTTTGGCTTTCTATTACTCCATATTGATACAAAAAATGTGTGAATCTTCCAAAGAACTTGGAAGAACAGTGGAACAGTTCCACAAACTGGAAAAAAAGCCCTCTTGAAACAGCTACTTTCATCCAAACATTGAATTACACAAAAGAAACATTCTTTCAAAACAAATACTTTTATGTGAACACTGAATTATATCTCTCAGTTTGCATTCCAAACATTCGTTATGGAATTGAATCAGACATCATTCACAGGATGCCTACACAATATACTAAATGAAAGGTAAAAGTTTCACTTACATGGAATACTGTCATCCTCACTGGTAGACATTGATGTTTCGCCGTAAGACACTTGCCTTAGGGCTCTTCAGTACCAATGTGGAAAACATTATATGAAAAAACACACAATTCATTAATAAAATTATGACTTTATGTCACGGAATGAGTTTGATCTACTCATGTCATCGGTGACATCATAATGAAATTAATTCGCTTATTTGATTAAATCCCAGCCAAAGGAATCTTGTTGAAATTGAAAGGGTTATGTTTTCAGGAGTGATTAATTTTTGAGAAAGAAAGTTTTTGGCTTTCTACTACTCCATCTTGATACAAAGAAAAAGATGAGGGAATCTTTTAAAGAAAGGAAGGAAGCAATCAATTTCAAAAGAAGTAACTCTATACATAAATGTGTAGATCATGCAAAGAAGTAACTTTCAGACACAAACTTGAAGAAAAAGCCCTCCTACTATTTTCAAATAAACATTGGACATTTCCACATGTTTGTATCAAGTTGGAGTAGTAGAAAGCCAAAAACTTTCTTTCCCAAAAATTATTCACTCCTAAAAATACATATAACCCTTTCAATTTAAACAAGATTCCTTTGGCTGGGATTTAATCAAATAAGCGAATTAATGTCATTATGATGTTTCAATTCAAACAATGTAAAGTGTTTCTTGAAAACCTTTCTTCCTTTTCTCGGCATCGACAACTGTGGTCATAAGCTACGTGTTCTAGGTAGACTACGTTGATATCTCCTAGATTCACTAGGCAGTATTGTGGCTTTTCACAGTCCTGTCGGTCATATTACCTAGCAGCCACCTTCTACTAGATAAATTCTCACAAGAAAAATATCTGGTTGTTGGCTCTACTACTGCGCCAATTCATTGCTCTTGGTCTTCCGAAATTGGAGGACCCCGTATGATCTCAGTTTTTTCTTCGAAGAGCATAATTCACATTTCCTCTCCACGAGTTTGAGTGAAATGATTCCAAAGTATTTACCATCTTCCCAGCTGTAAGAAAAGTGTACCAGTTTCGCTTTGATGTCTAATAGAACCAAATGATGTATGATGGCTGCTCTAGATTTTCTCAAACCTTTGCAGATTAATGAAAAAATCTTTTTTTGGATATCTGTATTGTTTAATTTTAGTAATACTATAGATTTTAAATATTTCGTTGTTATAACACTGCAGCTCTTGTATGTGTTGTCTTTTTCATAATGCTTCATTTATCTCATTTATCTTTGAGTCGTAAGGGAGAGTTCATCGCATATTACTACTCGGACTTGTGTTTTAAGGACGGTTGGGTCCAGCATGGCATTCGTGGTTTAGCCTAGCATCACTGATGATACCTATGTTGGGTCGAAACAGCGCTGTCTGGTATTGGTTCACGAATACATTGTTTTTGGACTCTAAAATCAACAATATATGCAATTGTCTTCAGGTGTTGAATCAATTTTGATTGATTGATTCATTGATTGATATCTGATGTAGTTTTTATCCTTTGGAGAATGACCGTTTTTTAAATGAATATAATGTACAGCGATTTCAATCCAACGTCTTCAGTGCTTGAGAATAAAAATAATTTTGTTCTCTTAGATTATAAATGAAAATTTCTATATCATTTTAATACAAATACCAAATTTCATTATTTCATAAAATTAATTATTATTATAGAAATAAACTTGCTGATAAGATATCAACAACACTCATGAAAGTATAAAACAACAACAAAAATTAATTGGCGTTCCGGGGCGACTTCATTGACTCCAGTGGCGCATTCGCTTTCTCAGCTGCAAAAAAACCCGGAAAAACCTGCAGCACCATATCATCTAAAGATCTTGATCTGCCAATGTCCTCTGTCCCATAAAACAAAATGTAGGGTGACTCCAGAGGCTCCAATATTTTCAATACATCGCCAGAACTCTTAGTGACATGACCAGTCCGTTTCGCCTTTGACCAAGGCGTAATAATGACCAGATTCAACGCCAGAACCACAGTGAACAATGACTGCATGAAAATTATAATAGTGGTCTGCTAGATTGAAGTGTTCATCTATTTCGAACCTTCGTAAGAGTTTGGTGCTTCCGTCAGAAGTTGAGTCATGTTTGAAGATCATCAATGTTATGATTAGATTGACTAGTGCCTCGGCCATACTTGTTTTCTCATAACAGTCAGTTAGTTTGGCGCATGTTTGGCAATACAGTCGATCATCACAAGTTTGATTTTCAGATAATTTAACAATAAGCTTTACCAAACGTAAAATAAGAAAATCATGAACATTTCATGATTTGAAAAGATTTTCATAAACATTTGGATATTCTATTTTTGAGCTGAATCACAATCAATAGAATACAATAGAAAATTAACAATTTCTAAATTCCTAAACTGTAAAAAAATGAATCTCTCTTTGTGATTGATACTTGTGGGTGAAAAATGCATCGAGAATAGTTTTTCAGTATGATAGAATCGTTTTAATTACAGTCAACATTTTTCGAAGGTACACTAGTGATGTACTGGACCAGAACAAGAAGTTATGAAGAATTCGAATACAGATCTACGAGATCTGTTAAAAAAGTGAATTTTTCATATTTCTCAAAAAATATTTATTCACCAGCGTTTTTCATAATCCCCGAAGAATTTCTGATATGCACTTTTTGGTGTCCTTTAGCTCTCTCAGCAGTTCGGCTTTTATCTCCTCAATCGTTGCAAAACATCGTCCTTTCATGGGTATCTTCAATCTTGGGAACAGAAAAAAGTCACAGGGGGGCAAATTTGGTGAATACGGTGTCTGAGACATAATCGCAGTGCTGTTTTTGGCCAAAAATTACCAACAAGCAATGACGAGTGAGCAGGTGCATTATCGTGATGCAAATGCCAATTGTTTCAGCACAATTTCGAACGTTTTCTTCGTGTTAGTTCCTGCAAACGGCGTTTAACTTTAAGGATAATACTCCTTATTGACAGTGCGACCATGTGGCCAGAACCCTGAGCAGTATGCCACAATAATCGAAGAAAAATGTGAGCAAAACCTTGACATTTGATCGAACTGGGCGTGATTTTTTTTATCTTGGCTCTCTGGGGATCTTCCATTGGGACGATTGGCCTTTGGTTTTGATGTCATAAACATATACCCATGAATTGTGTTTTTGGTCAAAATTCAGCAACTTTGGAATGAACTTCGCTGCCACACGCTTCATGCCTGATATTACAAAAAAATTGCATAGCATGAGCCAATTGATATGCCGACATCCTCAGCAACTTCTCTAATAGTGATTCGACTATTCTCCATAACAATTTTCTTCACTTTCTCAACATTTTCATCGGTTGTTGATGTGCTGGAGCGTCCAGGACGAGCGTCGTCATTAACATCTTCTCGACGTTCTGTGAAAAGCTTGAACTACTTGTAAAAAAAATTCTGACTCAGAGTGCAATCAACCGTATGCCACTGTCAATTTTTTTGATAGCTGAAACTCGCCGAACATGCAAAACATGCAATTTTTATGCCTCTCACCGACAAACTAAACATATTAAACAGCTTAAACTGTGAACATATGTTCAACATGTGTGTACCAACATAAAAAAACCGCTAATCGAATGTACGTAGCACGCGAAATTTGAACATTCACCTTATTTTTTGAACAGATCTCTTTGATTTGAACCACTTTGAGAGATTTTTGTTCATTTTAAGTAGGAGTAATTAGTCAAATTCCTTCAGCAATCCTTTAAGTTGATGGAATCAATAAAGGGAAAGTTTTGAAGTAGGAAATCCGAAATGGGTTATAGTGAATTTTATTTTCATGAATTTCAATTAATAACACATTCAATTCTGTAATTCTTCTAATTTTTGTGGATACTGAAAATTAATGTTAACAGATAACCTTTATAATTGTAGGATTATTTGCGGATTGACAGCTTTTTCAACTAAACAACACATTATAAGAGCCGCCCTGGAAGCAGTATGCTTCCAAACAAGAGATATCCTAGAAGCTATGAATAAAGATTGCGGCATACCTTTATCAAAACTGCATGTTGACGGAAAAATGACTACTAATAACCTTCTCATGCAACTGCAGGTTTCTATTTTAAATGTGAATCTGTTCAAGGAAATAATTAGTTTTATTTCAGGCTGACATAAGTGGAATACCCGTAATAAGAGCACATTCTGAAGATATTACAGCTTTAGGCACGGCAATGGCTGCAGGAGCTGCTGCTGGAATTGAAATTTGGGATATAAACTCTGAAGAAAGGGAGTTGGTGCCTAGCGACACATTTTTGCCAACTTCAACCGAAAGTGGTGAGCTTTATTGAATAGTTTTTTCAGATTCCAGAGTGCATCACACCGCTCAAGCAGGGTATTTATTGATTTACAGAAATTTGTGAACTAAATTACAGACAATATTTGATGTTAGCCCTTATATAACTAAACACTGTAGGAATCAATAACAAGAGGTACTTAACTCAGTTCAGTACCTGAATTTTGTTTACCTGTGACATTGTGGTTACACTAATTTGAAAACCGCTGAGTAAACTAGATCGATTTGATCATTTAACAATGCTTATGAATTTCCAAGGATTCCAACCCTTACTTGCACACTATGCAAGCAAAATCTCCGTATCATTTAGATTCGAAAACTTGTGATTGCATTTCAAGGAATGGTTTGAAAACGTCTAATAATTTTTACCTAGTCTGAAGGACCTTTCATGTTCAACATACCGTTTTGAGAAATTTCGACCACGTTGTCCCACGTGAACACTATTCCATTCCGGAACTTAAGATTATATACTCCAGATTTCTTCATCTTGTCTTCATTAATTAACTGGCATGTGGCCTGAATGCCACTTCCATATTTCATATTCCATATATTCCAATTTGGAAGTGACATTCAGACTACATTCCAGGTTATCTAATTTCGTTATTAATGTCAAAGATAAAGTGGACAAGATAGAGAAATCTGGAGTTTATAAGCTATACAAGCTATAAGTGTACGGATTGTTATATTGTTCATGTGTGACAATGTGGTCGAAATTTCTCAAAACGGAATGCTGAACATGAAAGGTCCTTCAAACTATTCCTTGGAATGCAACCACAAGTTCCCGAATATAAACTTAGAAAAGGCTACAGCCATCAATTTTTTGAATCAGCTATCTCTCCATGACCAACCTAAGAAGTCTTTTTGAAACTTGTGCATATTGAAATACTAAGGGCTTATTTTTTAATGTGCGACCACAACCATTATTTGGTTGATATTCACTGAGCACAAAGTTTGTCATCAGAGCAATTCAAATTGACATTCTCATAGAGTATGCCAATTAGGTGTCCAATCAAGGCTTTAAAAAAATTTCTAAATTGAGTGGGAATTGAAATTATGTCTTACGATGCACATTTGGTAACTGAATAAATATGTGGAAATTGTTCTCGTTTTTTTCAAATAACAACTGAGAGTATCTAGTTGTAATTAATAGCTACACGGATAATCTCCTGTCTAATATGACATGACATAAAAATTTGTGATGGAGTCATATGGAAGTTTATCAACAATTTCAGTGTTTAATACCATAACAATTTCGCAGCAATAAAAATTTGAAACAAGAAAAATATTTGCATAATATGTTGATTTACATAAATATTTGAGGTTATAAAATTTATATCTCTATATAATTTATTGCTTTATATTCACTTACTAACATGAATAAAGTACTGTTGAATATTTATTTGAAAGAAATATACTTGAATTTGTAGAAATATTGAATCTTTCAAATCGAATATTTTTTTCAGAGAGGGATGCCAGATATACTAAATGGAAAATGGCAGTCCAGAGATCTCTTGGATGGGCTGTAGCCAAAAAAACATCTGTCATGACAGGTTTGTTAAAATGTTTTCATTAAAAAATATATCATATATAAATATAATGATGCAATGCATTAATTATAAGCCAGTGCATATCAGAACTGCTTTGAGGGTTGGAAAAAAATGCAGACCTCGTATTTCCAATCGAGGAATTTTCCATCAATAATTTTTAGGTATTATTATCATTATTAGTTTTAATAAAAATATACAAACTACAATTTGAATTTATATAGTTTTTATATGAATTCATATACATTTTGATTTTTCAGAGGAACGGTACAAGTTATTGGCAAGCATACCTGGCAGTTTATACTTGATTGGCAGTTTTGGAATGATTGCTCTTTCAGAATATTTAAAAGCAAATGACGGGGTCAATTTGGGCTAGATTGGTAGAATGAAGAAAAACTCATCGATAAGTGAAAATATTCTCGATACTGCTACAAAAACCCACCATTTGATATTATGACTTAACGAAAAAACAACAGTTTTTTAAAGAGGATGCTAGTAATGAGACTCGTTTAATGATTTTCATGTGAACGACCGGCAGATCAGCATCTGGAAATATGCCTCGAACAAATAATTACCTAGTTTGTGCTAGTCATCTGCTCTCAAGATACCAGTGAATAGTTCAGAGAAGAAATAATGTTTATTTTACTGGCATAGAAATTAGCAATAATTTCGCAGTTTCATCTTTCAAAATAATTTACAAAAGATTATCACTTACCTGAAGTAGATTCGGAAAGATGACAGCAAGCAAAGGTAATTTAAATATATTTACTGAACTAATCAACTGTTTTATTGATATTTTTTAACTCAGATGTGTACTTACTTTGTTATATTTTGTTGATATTTATAAAAGTTATTTTTTGTTTTATATTGGGAATATTAAAAAAATAAACCATATTGTAGTTTTTCTTGTAAATGCCGTACAAATTACTGTGTAAAGATCTTTTTCATCTGATATGTTTGAAAAAAATCTGTTTTTTCGTTAACCCGCTGTCGCACCCCTACGAACGACAACCTTCAGAAGTCGAGACTTGTGCGAGCTAAGGATTAACGAGGTCTTACCTTTTAACGTCTGATTCCTAAATTGAAAGCAAGGATTAAAAATAAAAAAACAACTACATTTCGACTATAATTTATTTTGAATCCTACTTAAGAACTCGCATGGCAAAATATTTACAGGAATAAAAAACAAATAACTTTTATCAGTATATGTACAGACTTTGGTAGCCAGTTCCTGAGGAAATCATATAATATATATACAAATATTATAATATATGAAAAATTAGTGAGAATTAGTAGTAAACCATTAGGAACTGCAAGAAAGTGCAGTTCCTTTAAACCCTTATTTCATGCATACATTGTACTATCAGTATCCAACAATAATTGTATCAGCCTTTTGTTTTAGTATTAGTAGATAAAATTGAAGCGTATATTTCTTGAACAGGGCTTTGAAAAGGGGGTGTTCAGAAATAATAGCCTTTATTATTTTTTAGAGGAAAAGAGATAAAAATTATTTCACAATCATTAAAGGAGTCATAGTCAGCTAAAATTTTACATTGAACAATATTTCAAGATCTATTTTGGTAAACTCTACCACATGAATTGTTTCGTCAATCTCTATGGGGGAACCAAAGATAATGCTTCATTCATTATCAATTGAAGATATCCTGAATAGTAAACTACTAACGGGTCAGTGCGTTTTTCGAAAAAGAAATTCAAATTCAAGAGGGCCAATAGCTGAGATCATTTTCAAAAGACTATTGTATCATTCACATATTGTCTCTACAAGACCCAGTATCCGAAACAGAAAAACATTATTTTAGACAAGTGAAAATGAAAGATATATTTGGATTTGCTATGGGAATGATTCTATGATGCTTCAAAATAGTTATATGATAGATTAACAAGAGTGGATTCACGTAAACTTGCCAACTTTCCAGGGCAGTGATTACAGTGTGAAAGTCAGTTGAACCAAATCTATACTATGTTTCTACTGTGTGAAAGCTATTTTTCAGTTTTTTTGCCGTGGTTTGAGGATTTTTATGCCTGACGTTTCGTCGACTACTGCGGTAGACATTATCAAAGGTGATGTGATAACGGTCGCAGTGCCAGAGTTGATACTCAAGTTGTTGAATTTGAATTTCTATTGCCTCTCTATATAATTTCGGATAGTAATTTTGAGTTTTGTCAAGTATTACTGTATATTTGATACACAAAGTAGGCGGATTTTAATTTATATATAAAAACACTTTTCACTATCTCTCGATGCACCTTTCGCTACCAAGTTAGCATCAGAATATGACTAATCTTCTGATGATGCGTCAAGAGACAGTATTTTCGATCAGATGTGGGAAAAGTGTATTCAACAGATACATTTTACATTCATGAAATGAATACCATAAACTTTTAATTTGAAAAAAACCCTATGAAATTATTAATTATGATGAAGAAATCTGAATAGATTTCAAGAAAGTATTAAAGTGGCTGGGGAAGATACAAAACAAAAAAATACAAAAATTCACTTCACTCACTCTTAGTCTAGATGGAAACTTTGGTTAAAGACGTTTTTGGAGTGAAAACAGTCAAATACCCAGGGGGCACATAAGACTTGGTTTGATTGGTTCCTTATCCCTAGGAGTGGCTTTTTATGATACCAACAGGCCAACAGTAGGTGTTGGAGTGTGATACAAAAAAATGTTTCATCACATCATCATTTATCTATGGTACTTGACCGGAACAAATTTGTTGCCAATCCATTCATAATTTTTAGTTCTAAAGTCCGTCAAGAATTGTAATTCCGCTTCACCTGCAGTCATGAAGGAGTATAAGACAGATCATTGGTTTCTGTAGGAAAAGGTTGTCAAGTTCGGAATGCTGAAGAAAGGAAACTTAACATTTCACCCATTACTACTGTTATGGAGGTAACAAACCACTCTTAATGATTATTGTTGACACTTTTCAGACACTCTTGTTCTTCTGGATTTTATCTTGAGTTAATCAAAATACTTCATCTAAAGATTGTCGGTTTTTCAAACATTCTCAGAGATATTGCTGTTATGAGAATTTATTCAGCACTTGGAGACACATCATCTTCTTCAATAATTGATCATTTTGACTTTTGCTTATTTCTGAATCCTCACAAATCATAACTGGTGTCACGAGGATATATGTGGAGATTTATGGTTGATATAGAGGAAGAGTCTCGAAGATGAAAAGATAATGAATTATTGCTAAATCTCATAGAAGAACGGAGGGAAGCTTAGCAATTCAAGTGAACCAGTGGTAACCCAAAAAAAAAATGCAGGCAAGAGGAGCGTTAAATTGTGAAATATTGTTGTTTTTCAAAAGTCACATGAAATTGACATTTTGTTAGTTATCTAAGAAGCAATAAAAACTAATATGTAACATATATTACTTACAACGACAGAGATGCCGACATTTCTCTACAATTTTTCAATATATATTCTCTGACAATCAGTTTTGATTTTGAATTGATACCTTCGTAAAAATAATCACAGGGCTTATTATTGTAGGAACACCCAATATAAGATATGTCGTAATACTTACTAAGCATACCAATATTGCAATTAATCTCCTAATAGTATAAATTAAAATTCATTCATAAGTATACATACTCAACCATTTCAATGTAAAAATAATTTTTACTCTTATTAAACCACTATGAAAATTATATACCCCAAATCTATCGCAATTCAGTATTACCAGATTGAAATTCGGAAACATTCACCAAAAATTTGAATTACATTAATAATTTCAGAAGTGGAATTGGAAAAATATTGCTTATGCATATTCAAGGGCAAATTGAAGAACGAGTAAATCTTAAAATAATCTCTAGACATTGTTTTGAAACTGATACTTGACTGTGTTTTATTAGCATGTTGAAGTAAACGTCATCTTGCACATCAAATATAGAAAATATTTTTCTTGATACATGTGTTGGAATCGGCTGATATTTGATGAAAATCGTAACGTATTCAAGAAATACTTTACAGTGAGATAACGCAACACGTGTTTCGCTATACAATAGCTTCTTCAGGCGTTTTTTAAAAACTGTTTATTGAAAATTCCACAATAAAGTGTTTCTTGAATATATTCTTCTTGATCTCTTGCCTGTATTATCAAATCTAAGATGTTGTATTTCAATCACCAATTGTGGTAAATCTATGAAGTTTTACCTACCCTGTTCCCTTAAGAACCCAATGATCACTAAGATAAAATTTTACTACAGTGGTAAATAAGTGTTCAAAATAGATCATGAAAAAATATAGTCATCACGGTAGTTCCTCAAAACGAAAAGTTTGTCTCCCGAAACCTGAAATTTTGAGTTTTATTGTACAACCTTCACTCTTGTCCTGATTGTGCATACTATTACCAAGTGTTTATACCTCCACTATTCATGCCTTCCAAAATTTCTATAATTATTGGTCTTTGCAATCATGTACATTATTTATATCCGTATCACACACTTTTTTTTCAAAAAAATTGTGAATGCTATTGTTGAAATTTTTGAAACCCATTGGGAACAATTTTCTGAATTTGAATATGGGAAGTAATCCTGGGGCAGGGCCCCCGCTACCAATGCACACGGGCGCCATCCTTTAGGGGCGCCAAAATCTAGGGTCAAAAATTGCAATTATGTAAAAAAAAAAAACAAAAATTGATTTTAAAATAAAAGTTGAGAAATTAAATAGGATTAGGTATAAATACACACGAAATTTTATTAGTTTATCATCAAATTACTGCCGATTCCTATGTTGCGAGAACATGTCAGACGGTGATTTTTCCTGTTTAGACAATGCCCGGAGCGGTATAAAAGAGATGATGCATCGCCAGAGGCGTTTTTAAACATGTTAGTTCACTGGACCGTGCAACAAGTGCATAAAAATAAGTTATCCTATTAATTATTACATTTAAAGTTAGAAAGGGTTTAAGTGAATGGGCTCGAACAAATTGCTTTTTACTTAAGTACGTTAAATTTGTGTTCATTACCTGATGATACTGACCTCTTGAGTATTTTACAATATATATTTGAAAACAATTCAATCTCCACCCTTCCAAACTTAAGTATTTCACTAAGAATTCTTCTGACATTGACTGTATCTGTAGCGTCTGGCGAGCGATCTTTTTTAAAGTTAAAAATCATTTAAAATCATAAATAAGATCGACAATGCTTCAAGAAAGATTGTCTGGGCTAGCGATATTAGCGGAAAATATCGCTGCTACAATAGCTATTTTGTATTTTTCTATTGTACCTAGCTATTATTTTTGATTTTATAACGAAGTTACCTAGGTATTTTTTGTCAGAAGTATCTGCATAATGCATATTTTTTAAAATATCTAAGTATTAGTAGAAAGTAGTACGCCAAAATCCTTTTTTGCACACAGGCGCCAGTAGCCCTTACGGGGGCCCTGTCCTGGGGAACATTCAAAACAAATTAGAGTAAAAATATCTTTCTACTCACTATATTATGAAATAATCAGCTTAACAAATTATTGATATTGAAAAGTACACCTAAGCCATAAATCAAGTATTTCGTAATTTTTAATATTAGCTCTGTGGCAGATAATGTAAATTGAAGAGTGTGCATAATCCAAATTTGTATCAAGTATGATAAACATTTTGAAAATCCCTGAACAAGTAAGAAGTTTTAGTATTTGTTTCTGAATTGGAAAAACAACTTTTCAACGTTGTCACGTGGACTCGTTATTTTATGATTAAAAAAATATACAGGGCGTAACAAAAAGGTAAGTCATAAATTGAACTGGGGTCAAAAATAACTCGACTAGATACAACTTACCCTAATGCAAATGTGCACAAAAAAAAAGTTAGCCTTTGGCCAGCACAAAATAAAAATCGATTTTTTCCAATATTTCACTGTTTAACATTTCGTAATGAAAATGGATCCGAAGTTTGCTTATCGTAAGAGCATCTTTAAAACCATGAAATTTGTTTAGCCCATAAAAGTTTTAGGGGGTATTGTACCCTTATAACCCCCAAACTTTTCCAAGCTTTCGAATCAAATTAATATTGAAACACCATCGGTTTGATTCCTCGTAGCACTTTTTCGAAAAGCCAGTTTTTATCAAAATGCAGGCTTTTTTTCAATATCCTTTAAAAATTCATTAGTTGGCTCAACACTTGTAGATCCTATAGATGAATAACAAACAGTTGCTTCAACAATTATATACTGTCAATTGAAGTTTTCTATTATTGCACATTCTAAGAGTGTTGACAAAAATTTAAATTTCTGCACATGGTTTATACATCCGTAGAAATGGCAGATTTGCATTTAATTTTGGGTAAGTAAACAAGGTTTCAGATAATTACCTGTAATTCTGGTAATCACAGGTGAATGCCAAGGGAATAGTGCAGCAGCTGAAGGCGTTACGTGGAAGAGGTAGATTTAGAAATGAGGCAAAACGTGTGGTATTTACAAGATGGAACTCCAGCACATTTCAATAACGAATTTAGGGAATATCTTTTCGGTCTGTACACTGAACATTGGATTGGGAATGTCCCTGATGCACCTTTTTCTTGACCAGCTAGAAGTCTAGAAGATCCTTAACCCTATTCACTTTTGCTTCTGAGGTTTTATGAAAGAGAAATTGTATTCTGTTGAAATAGTCTGCGAACAACAACCGAGACATCGAATAAAAAAAAGATGTATTAAACCAATGGTGTCACAAATGACAGTATGTAATAATTATTAAAGCAACTCTTTGTTAACTTGTAGTAACTACAAGTGTTGGACAGTTAACTAAAGGATAAAGAAAAAGAGCCCGCAAAAAAAAAAGATGAAACCAATGGTGTCAAAAATACTAATTTAATTGTAACGTATAGAGGCACTTTTACAAGTGAATTTTTTGGTTTTGAAAAGGTAAGGGATTACTTTCTGAAAAATAAATTTTCTTAATAACAAAAAAATCCCTACGAACGACAACCCTCAGAAGTAGAAACTTGTGTGAGTTAAGGATTAACAAGGTCTTACCTTTTAACGTGATTCCTATGACGAGTTGGACGATAGCAAGTGAAAATCGATCGTTCAGACAGGGGTTTGAACCACCGACTAACACGGTAGCCAATTCGAGGGAGTGAACAAAGCACCCACGTCGAACCGCCTGGCTACCGACCGCTGAGTACATGATTTTTTTCTCCATAGATTATTCAATTAGTAGGCAAAATTTGTGGATACAAGTTACTGACTAATTGAACCTTTCAGTGATTTGTTTTACGCAGTAACTCTTCGGGGTGAACTTTTCAGTTTGTCCTTTCTTACACTATAGTAGATTCTCGATTGATCTAATGTCATTTTTCATATTGTGGAAAGCTGAATACTCAAAAAAAATAGGTTCAAAATATTGTCAACTATCTCAGTGGGATGTGAAAAGTTGATAAGACATATTTTCGTTAGGAAAAGAAAAATCGGCAACACATTCATTGATGAATAAAATAAGATTTGAAATCACTCTGAATGTTTGTTTTGCTAGCAAAATATGGGAATTATCCAAAATATGATTCACAGAGATATCCTGCTATACTAATATTGCCTACAGACTACCACTTAATTGACCAGTGAAGTAAGCACTGGACTAATCTAGGTCCAACTTTTACCCTTTTGGTGTTTTCTATCCTTAAACCTAGATGATCAATTGGGTTTTGAAACTTAAACCTTACAACTTCAATTTGCTGTTGAAATGCATAAGCTGAATGTAGAAAAATTATGTTTGCTATCCTAATTTTGTTCCGAACTCATGCAAAATATCACAAGCCATATCAACATTGTTCCTGGTGATCCCCAAAGCTTTTATAACCGAATCTCTAGAATATCCTTCGCTAACCAACTTCTTGATGTAATCCATGTTGAGGTTTTCATAAGGAACATTTGTTTCCCGTTCCAGAGGGTTGAATCTTTGTTTGATCTTAGGTGGTATTTCTAATTCTACGTTTTCATACTGTGGAGGTAGATTGGGATCAGAAGTTTGACTAATATTAGGTGTTGTGTTTGATTTTACAGGTTTTGGTGCTCTAGGACCGCTCCTGTTCGACGGACAACTCAGATGCCTGTTGGGTGTTTTAAAATCGAAGACATTTCTATCATAGTAATCACAATTTTGTATAACAACTCCATATATTGTGTCTGGGGAACTAACTTCATTTTCATGCTCAATACTGTTATTCCTATGTAACTCGATGTTCAGCATCGAGCTGCTCTTTGGTATTTGAGGTACTTCTACTGGATTTTGTAATAAATTCGTGACTGATTGTGCTTCACTTAAACCCGCATTTGAGGTGGCACCGTTTCGCATACCCATGGTTGATGTAGTTGGAAGAATTGTTTGCTCATGTGTGGGCGAACTTTTTCTTGGAGGTAGCGGTGGGGGAAGTGAACTGGGAACAATTACTGGCACGTTTCTGCGCAAGCATCTAGGACTGCTTCCTGGCGAAATCATTGGACTAGCCGAAGCCTAAAAAAAAACAAAATTCAGGAAAACTTAGACCTACCACATTGTAATATCAACATCTTGCATTATCAAAATCAACAGGGCTTCATCAAAATGCCCCAGCTCAAGCTTGAATACTGCTGTAATAATCATTTTCAGAGTGTCATTGAATATGAGGATACACAAGTTTTGTTTCATTTGAGAAACATTTTTCGATGAAGTTATAATTGTTTTCATCAGTTTATTATTGATCTTCAGTGGGTCCACCAACTGTGTTCATAAGAAGTATTTGTTCTTATTTGTGAATTGATGTAAAATGTCAAATATTACTTCTTAGTCTCTGTTAAGTTGAATGAATCTATGGTTAACTTCCTTTTTAAATCGACCGACACACACACACACAGACGTATTCAAAAAACACTTTATTGTGAGATTTTCACTAAACGATTTGACAAAAACGCAACACGTGTTTCGCCATACAACGTCTTCTTCATCAAGTATCGGCCAATTTCATCAAATACACACACACAGTATGTAATATTTTATGTTTTTCAGAAATGTATCTCTGTAAACAATAATTTTATTTTATACTTTTACAATTTGACATGTTCCTACACACATAACTGTCTTTGTACCAAAGAACCAATAAAGATATTCTATGTATTCATCTTTTTCATACTTTCATCCTAGAATCATATAAATAATATGGAAGAAATAGTACCTAATTATATATTTTACAAGCAAATAGAAGATTAAGTTAAATATACTCCAAGAACACTAGCTTGAGATACAAGAAGTAGAAATGTCAAGAGAACGTTACAAAAAAGGGGTGTGGTTTTGCTATACCATATTTATTTATTCAAGGGCATTAAAGCCCATTTAAAGTATAAATTACAATGTTGAATTACAATTGAAATAAAATCAGATAAGGTACTGAATTACAAACTGCAATTAAGGATAGCTTAAAAGGAGTAAATTTAAAGTTTAAAAGGGGTTAATTTTAGAGTATAAAACGACAAAAAACAATGAGCAACAATAAAACAAATACCACATATACTACCTTAAACTATACACTAAAACATTAAACATTCCGTAATTGAGTTTTAAAATGATGCAAGGAGATGTTAAACATCTCAAGGTCAACGTTACTATTGGCTTATCTTATTTGAATCTTATTGAATGTGTGGTTCAAACGATAAAATGGTGCATAAAATGTTTGTTGCTGTCGAGTTGAGCGGTTTTGAACATGTAGAGAAATTTTTTCTAGGAGTTCAGCGAAACTGAATTTGCCATTAATAATATTGAAAAGTAGTGTCAGGTCCCTCTGATTCCTCCTAGTTTCCAGGGAGGACATGCTCAGAGATTGCAGTAGCAAGTCATACTCACAACAAACACCCGATTTATATGCTATGTATCTGAGAAAGTTGTGTTGGACATTTTTGATGTTCTGAATATAAGTTACACAATGAGGGGACCAGACAGAAGAACAATACTCCAGATGTGGATGGACCAGTGAACAATAAAGGGCTTTAATAGCAGTTGGGTCAGTGAATTCAAGTATGATTTCTATCACAAACAAGGAGAATTGAATACTGTCACTAATTCTACTGATCGCGAGTGAGAGAACTTGAGTAGAAAACGAAACCATATCCTGAAAATCTAAACTGTCGGAGTTTTGTGAATTTTATTTACGAAATTCAATTCATTTTGGACCATTTCAACTAATATGGATGACTTTAATTTTCTATATATGTTCTATATAAGTTGATTAATAGATGAAGAAAAAGGTATAGAATTCATTATTTTTTCTATTTCTGATATACAATATTGTTTACTTATTAAACTATTCTGGAAAAATAAATCGATAGTCTACAAATTCTTTTCTTTAAACTATTAGAATTCTCCTATGTATTCAACTTTCATTTACTTTTTAACCTTTTCTATGTGTTGGTTGAGTTTGGGGTATTAGTTCTGAGGATTACAAAAACAGCTGCTGTTTGTGGCCTCACTAGTACTTGCTTTCTACAAATTTCACACACTCAACGTCCAGTGAAAACAGAGGTTAAGCGCTGTCATTATTTCAGACATTTGGATTGGCAAAAATTTATGGTGGAGTTTGGCAACATTTCTTATTGGATTTATTCTATCCTTTCTGATATCTCGTTTGAAGAATATGGTTGTTTGTAAGTGATACAAAAACAATGGAGTAAGTGAAAGGGAGTACTCCTTTTTTCTCAAAATTAAGAAGAGTAGTCTTGTTAGTGACAACTCAACTCAAAAATTGACATACGAATATCATATATATTATACATATGACCAAGGAAGGTCTGATATTATTGATTACTTTTGTTTTATTCCCAATTCCTCAGACTATTCATGGGTATTCTCAGTGTAGGAGTATGAATAACATAAAAAAAAAGTTGGGATGATATCTCTGCAAAAGTTCTTCTATATCTACCAGAGAATTTTTCAGCAACCTTAGCTGGAGCATTCAACTATTTATTCTTGAATGGAGTATTTTCACAGTATCCACCATTAAAATTTTATGTAAAGTCCAAATGAAATTAATAGATTATTACTAGAAGTCAAATCTTACCGATATTTCACTTCTGGGAGCTATTGAAAGTGCATGTAGACTACTGCCAGCACAGTTCCATAACTCTCCAACGTCCTGAAAAAAAAATCGAGTATGAAGGCGGTATAAGAAACCACTAATAGATACATGAAAAACCTGACTTTCAAATGAAATGTGTGAATATCTAAAAGAACATCTGAAAAAACTCACCTGAAATGTTATGGTAACACATAAAGCCCAATTTTTTGTGAACCCATTCATGCAAAGCTCTGAAAGCGCAATGGTGCTAGGGTCACTAAAGCTGAACAACAATACCTACCTGCTTGCCATCTTAAAAAATTAACAAGACAAGCCATAACAACATAACATTGAAACAACATAAAATAAAACAAAGTTGATGCAGAAATAATGTATTATAAATAAAATAAATGAAAAGTGCTTTTCCTTTTTAAAATTACAATGGAAATAATACTTTAAAGTAAACTTATAGTAATATAGAATATACAATTTAAATACGGAATATATATTTATATACAACTAAAAGTAAAAATAAAACCTCTAACTTTTATCCTAATTATCTGAACCCTATTATAGAATAATATAAAATAATTGTTATGAATAACCCACTTTTCCACCTAGAGATGAATTTTGTCAAGAACTTTTAAAAAGTAGGGAATTTTAAATAAAATATCAATATAATTTTTCGCTGAAAATGATCTTACTTCTAGCTCGTGATAAGAAAAAGTGATAGCCAACAAAAAGTTTATTTTACATTCTCAACTGAAATTGTCTTCAGAAATTATAATTCTGTCCATAAATTCAAAGAAGTGAAAACTAGAAAAGAAAGACTGTACTTTACTTCCTCAAGGAATTTTCAACAATATCACAAATATTTTACTGAACAAATACTGTTACGGCTCTTAACATTACGATTAAATTTTGAATCTTTCAACGACAGGAGTTTGGTTAATCCAATAACGTATACTTGAATTTCAGAGAAAAACTACTGCCAGCTATTGCTTTAAAGTTAACAAAATTTTGGTACATAAGAATCATTCAACTTCAAAACAGCAAATTTTGATTATTTGTAGATATGAAGAAGAGAGTTAGGATCAAGAAGCACTGACACGTTATACTAATTTAATAGAATTTTGAATACAGGGAAATGAAATTTTATTAACTGATGGAAGTGCCGTTGGAATTGTGTTTTCATCTCAATATCAACATGCAAGTCGAGTTTTTCCAGAAACCCACAACTGTCATTATATAAAGCACACACTTATGAGCACATTTAACCAAACAAGAAAAACAGGTAAACATAAAGCACAGCCGAAGTTGAAAGGGCACACAGGAGAAGAACGGCAATAAAAACTTTTTAGAGACGTCAGTACAACTTCCAGAACATGAAGAAATTAAAAGAAAAATATATCTGATCTTCGTTGTAAAATGTTTGACATCTCTATAAATAATTTTTATTCAGCATAATCATTCGTGCTTGACTTATCATTTGCTACCTCTAACTCGAAGTCTTCATCATCAATGTTTCCGGTATTTCCAGAGGCGGTCGTAAACGTTTTTCGTTGATGGGATTTCTTCGGGTCAAAAGGATCCACAACAATCTGCTCGGTGCCTTTTATTTCAGCCCTACAGAAGGGACAACCTTGGCTGCCTTGGCCCTCGGATCCCTGTGGAAGATAAGCATATACATTTTCTAAATGATATTCACTTTTTGCCTGATTTTTGATTTTTTTAAACCATTGTTGCATCAACTTGAATGTGCTGTAACATTATCTACCTCTGAATATTCAATAACAGTATCAGTGTGAATGTCAGGAGTAATAAAAATAATAATAGTGACATTATCACTATCGATTGGCTTCAAATTAGAGACTCAAGAAAGTTAATTTATTGAAAGGTGAGTATACATTTGCAATGCATTGAAGAATATATACTATTCAGTAATTATAATCCTAAAAAATGAAAATGTATTCTATTCGATATTTTTAGTATGTTCAAAAAATAAGATGAATGTTCAAATTTCGTGGGCTACATACATTTGATTAGCGATTTTTAATTTTTTATTTTGGTACAATCATCTCGAACATATTGTAACGAATCCGAGATATCGACCCTGACCGATATCTCAGCCAGCGAATAAACACATCGCGAACCACGGCGAAAAGTCTAGGCCAGTCCCTACAGAATTCTACGGTGGACCTTTACCGATATAAAAGGCCGGCTCCTCGTTCAGAAAGGGCAGTCAGAATTATACAGAAAGCGAATCGAGCGGTTAAACAAGGAATTCAAATAGTGAAGATAAATTAAGCGTTAGTGCTAAGTGTTGAATATAAGTTAGTTGTGATGGTGAAATATCGTGAGAAAAAAATTTGTTTAAGACAGTAAATTCTTTAAATTGTTACAATATGTTCACAGTTTCAGCTGTTTAGTTTGTTGGTGACAGACATAAAAGTTGCAAGTGTTTTGCGTGTTTCACGATTATCTCCTATCAAAGAATTTGCATAAAATTTTGTGTAAAAATGGAATCGAGTGATCAAAACAATTGAAAATGTACAGAAAGTGAAATTACCATGGCGTAGTGCATCAGGAGTTTTTGCTATATGGTCGTATAGCCAATAAAGAGTATTAGTTATGCGCCCCTTGCGAGAAGCAATACAAAGAAAACCTACGGTATTGTAGCGAAACAACTTCTCGATAATGCTTGCTTGTTCGTAATTTCATGGCAAAAAACAACACCGTAATCATGCCTAGAAATACTGTTTGAAGTCAACATTGCTGCATCACATTTTGAATCACTGTGTTGATGTAACTTATAGCAAATTATACTTACCGCTTGCCAGGCCGTGAGGCAAGGTGTGCATAACAGGTGCTGACAAGGTTCAATGCGTACATCTTTGTCGTTTTCGGCACAAATTTTACATAGTTGGAATGTACTACCCATCTCACAGTATAACTCGTACTGCTCCTGAGTAACAGCAATATGGTCTTCTTGACTAGGCTGGACAGCCCATGATAGATCAGGGTTGACTGATCTGCCATCGGGGTAGAGATAGCTGAAATAATCAAAGTATTTCGTGATTCTCTTTGATATTTCAAAATAGTACCACAATTAAAAACTACATTCTTGCATGTCTGAATACAGATAAAATATCGGAAGCAAAGATAAATTATTCAATAGAAAATTTTAGGGATTCCACCAGCAGGTTTCATTTTTGTCCTTCATTTTCTTTATGTAGAACATTGTAGTTTATGTAGAATCGTGGTTGTTGATTCTAAACTTTTTTCGTGGTCAGAGATTCTGGTTATGAAATTTCTAGATGTTCTTCCAATATAAATTTTTGGACAAGAGCCACATTTTAGCTTATAGTCACCTGATTTGCTGTTTCTCATATGTCTACTAGGGGTGTCTTGTATGCTATGTTGATGTTCTGTTAGGTTAGTAGTCTACTTATCTTTTCCTTTTCCATTCCTGTATCTGTATATGATAGTGTTTTGAAAGTGTTCGTACTATCTTTGATGTGAGGATATACTTGTTTATTAGCCTGTCCAACAATATTATATTTAGTACTTATTTGAGGTTCAGCTAATATTTTTACGATTAAGCCGTCATAAAAATTGTGAAATAAATCAATAAAATGTATAATCAATTATTAGATATTGAAACTATTTATAAATTGTCAGTTTCTAGTCAGCTGTATTTTGTATGGGTGCAGGTCCAAGTCGTGACGCAGAATCCGCCAAGTTGTGGTCTGCGAAAGGCCGAGCTCTTGTGAGCGTCGCGAAATCGACTGCCTCGGATTGTCCTGCACACTCTCACAGACAACGGTGATGTTTTTGAAAGATCTTGCGTTTCGACGACGTATAAGTGTTGGTCAATCGTTTACTGAACCAGGGGACTCAAATTCATCCACCACAATGCAAATAGTAGGTAGGACGGTAGGACGATTATGGCGACCGTAAAATGGGAGATTTGGAAAAACAAATTGAATAAATGACAACTAATTTGACAGATGTAGCTTCAACAAGATGGCCGTTATTAATGGTCAAAGTTCGGATGTTACTGTTGGAAGGCCCTATATATGCAAATGAACGAAACGAGAAACGAATGTTATCATGAAAGCCATGATGTGTTTATTAAATATCCAATTGTACATCAAGAAAAAAATTAAGAGAAACATTCCTCTTACCTATTTACCTAATGAATATAGAGTTTGCTCGGATACTAGGCTGAACAGTATATTATACATACTGTTCTACATTGAATTTTCAATTAGAATAGAAATATATCATCTCTTAAAAATATGTGAATTTCAATTGGAAAGAAACAAAAAGCTCAAAGCAACTCATGGTCTGATCTTGAAAAGAAATATTCCCAATCATTGCATGGAATATTATGAGAAATTGTTAGCGTTTTTGTGGTTTCACACAAAGCCAGGATATCAGACATTTTTATGAATTATATTCTAGTACTTACATTCACTATATTTATGTAAATGATTTGTTTACATTGACTGCTTTAGTTAACTACCTGCATAGTTTCTTGAATATGTTCTAGTAACGTTTCTTGACCTATCTCCAGATTAATAGTAACAACGTGAATTATCAGATTCAAGATCTAGATTAACTACAACATAATTGGCAAACATGCAAAAATATCTCTTGTACTGCTTACTATTTTCTAGGGTTTCATAAATGATGAAATGATATATAATCTGTCCATTTAACTAACAGCATTCTCCAAAAGATTATCATGCATAGTGCACCTGATCTCCCAGACAAGGCTGCTTCTACGGAGTCGCACTAAGTAACCACCGATTTTTTAAATAATAATATGCGGCTGGGTATAGGAACATTCTTTAGATGGAGTGTAGGGACACAAATTAGCAGTTTCTTCAGTAGCATCAGTACTTGACAATTTAAAAATTTCAAACATTAAAATACCGCATATGTACACACCACAGGCATTAAAACGTAACTGACCACTCCGACCCTTTAGTGATATATCTGAATGCATTTCGCCAGCCGATTGCAGTTAAATCTGATTGGCCAGCATAAAAAGGCTCATTCATTCTAATGTGCGTGTTGATTATGCTTTGATCACGCATCTATCATTGTTTGGGTTACTTTGTTTGTTGGATTTACAGAGTTCAAATAGAATGATATAAAATAATGAATTCTGCAATATGTCAAAAAGAAGCAACTATTATTGAAAAAAAAAGACTGTTACTGAATTTCAGCTAAAACTTGAAATTTCAATTGACATACAGTGCAATGCTTGATGAATACTCAACAGAAAACTACTTTTCCAGTTGATAAAACAATGCAACTTGGTTGTTATGAAAGATAAAAAGTCGTTTTAAGTCAGATTTGAATGAAAAGTTCTATTAATTTCAAAGTTTGCTTTCAGAGGATGAGAAGATATATTTTCCAAAATTTATAACCCCAATAAGTTTTATAATTGAATAAGTCATCATCGATACAATTTCTGGCATTACACGAGATGAAAATGATTGGATGAATTCTGGTGAAGGATTGAAAATATGATTTTCTTCAACTTGAGGTATTAAAAAGCGAAATACTTCCTCCATTGTGAACACATTCTTGAAAAGTACTGACAAAAACAATTTTTAGTAGTTAGGAGTATAATAAATAATGGTATTCACAGAGGTTACAGACTAAATGGTGAAGGGACAAAATTGAAACAAGCCTATCCAGATCATCTAAAGAAATCACTTACAATCCTTCTCGATATCCATCCAAGAGAGCTTGTATCAGACTTTTATTTTGCGGTATGGTTTGCAGAATTTCGCCGTCTGGCGTTACGTAGCCTATTGCCCATTGCCCCAATCTGGTGCACGACAACCTGAACACATAACTTCCTGCCTTATTGATGTACTTCTGAAGACGTGCCTTCACTTCATCATACGTCAAGAATGCCACATAACCATGATGAGTAACGGCCAGTATCTTCCAGTTGCTGAGGAGGGTAGCCCAAGGTTGAAACAACCTGAAAAAAATTGGTAACGAGATCAGTAGAAAATAATAATGAGTGGATAAAACTGAATCGTTTGGCATAAAATAAATGTAACTGAACATTGTCAAAGACGATGTTTTCATGATACTGGTGTAAGAAAACACAATATTGTTAGGGAAATGAAGAATATGAATTAAAATATAGTATGGTGAAATAGTCAAAATGCAAATAAATTATTATATTTATGCAAGTGTTACCGAAAGTCGTATACATGAATTTGCATAAATTTATGTATACAACCTCCAACCGATTTCCTGGAGTCTTTGAAGTCCACTAGATACTCGTTAGGACAACAAGAGGATTGTTCCAAACTCTTGGAGTTCTTGTTGAATACTCTTCGTGAGGAAAACAGTAGCAGAATCAATACTCCTGACCGCTCTGGATTGAATAATTTTGAACAGTCCATCTCGTCTTGTGTTTGTAAATCTTTTGCAGAAAAAATCCCCACTTGTTTATTTTGTAGCAAATCTTCAAGAGGTAGCAAAAACGTATGTGAATTTCTGGAACTCCAACTAGCGTTTCCTAATATGACTAATAACCAGTACGTGCAAAGCTTATTGTTAAATCACCTGAAAATGGAACTTTTAACAGGTGATGATCGACTGTATTGCCAAACATGCGCCAAACTAACTGACTGTTATAAGAAAAACAAGTATAGCTGAGGCACCCGTCAATCTAATAACAACACTGATGATCTTCAAATATGACTCAACCTCGGACGGAAGCACCAAACTGTTACGAAGGTTTGAAATAGATGAACACTGCAATCTAGCAGACCACTATTATAATCTTCATGCAGTCAATGTTCACTGTGGTTCTGGCTTTGAGTCTAGTCATTATTATGCCTTGGTCAAAGACGAAACGGACTGGTTTAAGTTTGACGATAGTCGTGTCATTGAGTGTTCTGGCGATGTATTGAATTTATGGGAGGCTCTGGAGACACCCTACATTTTGTTTTATGAGAGAGAGGACATTGACAGTTCAAGATCTTCAGATGATGTGGTGCTGCAGGTTTTTCCTGCAACTGAAAAAGCAAATGCGCCACTGGAATCAATGAAGTCGCCCCGAAGTGCCAATGAACGATTCCAGTACCCCTATTCAGTGTTGCTACTAAATTTTATCTGGCATATGTTTCTCGTTTATCCAGCAGTAAGACCATGCTGAAATTATTCGAGTAGATCACAAATTAGGAGTAACAATATGTTGAAGAAATAATATCCGGTGACGATTCGACGGCTATTAGAATCGTGGAAGAAATATCTAAGATACTAGAAAATGATGGAATTGCTTTGGAAAAATGACACCGAATTTCTGGACACAAAGAAACTTGCAACATTTTGGTTGAAGTATATGAAAAAAAAAACTTGCTAAGACAAAACTTTGTGAAGACGAGTGTATCGAAAAATAGATGATTTCCTCGAAGAGTATAACCTTTCACGGCCGGAGATAACTGTGTCAAAGCTATTTTCCGGGGTTTTTTTGGCCGTGGTATGCAGGTTTCTATGCCTGACGTTTCGCCTACTACTACGGTAGACATAATCAAAGGCGATGAGGTAACGGTCGAAGTAGTTTCAGCGTTGAGAACAACTCGAACACTTCAACCGTTACCACACCGCTTTTGATAATGTCTAGCGCAATAGTAGACGAAACGTCAATAATAAAAACTTGCAGACCACGGCCAAAAAACCCGGAAAATAGTTTTTACACATATTTCTTCGAAGTTTAAGAGATCCTCTTGATGAATGCTACTATGGTCGATTTCGCTGGCTTATGTCCAGCCCTTCTTCATCGGTACATATTGTGATATTCAGAGGCTCCTGCATATGAACCTATATTTATCTATACTATCTATACTAATATAAAAATGTACCATAAGATTGTTTATCTNTCATTGTCACTGATTTTGAGGTGTTCAAGACTAGTCGGTTGCGTTCACACCAAGAAGTGAATTCATTGATAATTTTACTAATTTTGGTTACCACGTCATCCATAGTATGTCCAGTGACTGTAACAGTGGTGTCATCTGCAAACATCGTTATGTGGCAGTCCCTCACATATTCAGGCAAATCATTGATAAATATAATGAATAATAATGGTCCTAAAACTGAACCCTGAGGAACGCCCAGTTCAAGAGCATGCTCATCTGACAAGGTGCCTCTATATTTGACTGACATACAGCGCCCCTCCATATATATCTTAATACATTGTTTGGAAGACCAAATATAATCAACTTATTAGACAGAAAATTTCATGACACAGAGTCGAATGCCTTTGACAAGTCTAAGAATACACTTATAACAAAGTTACCAGCGTCCAAGTTGGAATATATGTTGCTGAGAAAGTGATAACGATTTTTCCTGAAACCATGCTGGTTGTTACATAATATGTTGTTGATTTCTACATATTCCCTTATTCTGAAGGGTACAATTTTCTCATACAATTTTGAGAACGAGCATAGTAGAGAGATCTGTCTATAGTTATCAATTTCAACACAATTTCCTTTTTTAAATAGGGGAATTACCAAAGCTTTTTTAAATTCCTTTAGGAAGTACCCTTGAATGAAAGATTGGTTCATCAAATAGGTAAGTGGATCAATTACAGCACTGATTATATCTTTAACTGTAATTATTGATATTTCATCAATACCTGTCGACCGACGTCTTATTTTTTATTGATCTGAGAGCGTCATATATTTCAGGGGTGTTGAATACTGACATTCGTACTACTGGTGCAGGGTAGGGTTGAATTCTGTCCAAAGTTGTTGGGTATGATAGATGTAGCAGTGTTTGAGAAGTACTGAGCAAATAATTCAGATGTATTTTGCGCATTCCCAACTTAGTTTGAATTATAGTTTAAAGTAATGCCCCGCTCCCCAGCATCAAAATGCATTGGTTATCCTAGTTCGCTATTTATTATTTTCCATGTCTCCTTCGTTTTGTTGGCTGCATTCCCAATTTTTTTAGAAAAATAGTTAATTTTATTCTGTTTGATTGTTCTTTTATGTTCTCTCAATCTTATTTAATATGTAAGCATGCTTTTTGCATCGATTTCTTCATAACTGGTGATCAGATAGAACATTTCTCTTGAGCATTTTCTTTCTTGAACAACATCGTTAGTTATCCATGAGTTTTTAGGCTTCTTAACTTTACTTTGTTTTATTGGGCATGATACATCAAAACACCAGGACAGAAACTCTAGGAAAAAGGCAAAGCCTTTTTGTACAGACATATATAAANCATATATCAATTTTAAAGAAGAATATGCACGTTATAATAAGTTATTCAAGTTCTTTTCGAATCTGAGAGTGTGGTCAAGGATGACTCCAAGATTTTTCGCTTCTTCCACCAACTCGATATTCACGCCATTGATTGATATGTTTAGGTACTCTAAAATATTAGATCGTTGGGACTTTGGTCCAAATAATAGAACATTTGAGAGTATAGGGCAAACAGTGTTCTGTTGCAGCCCTATAAAAATTATCCAAGTCTTTATTAAGTATCATGCAAGAATCATTTACTTCTATAGGGGGAAACTAAAATAAATTTGGGTGTCATCCGCATAAAAGTGCACCTTGCAGTGATTCAAATTTTTGATAAGATTGGAGAAGTAAAGTGCAAACAGGATCGGCCCAAGTATAGAGCCTTGTGACACTCCGCGTTGAAGAGATATGGGAGATGAAAAAGTTCCATCAAACGTAACTCTTTGACTTCTTCCATTAAGATAATTGGCAAGCAAGGTGATAGCTGCAGTTGACAGACCAACGTAATGTAAAATTGATATCAATAAATCGTGGTTTATAGTGTCAAAGGCTCTGCTGAAGTCAATAAGTACTAGAGCTGTACAATGTGCTCTATCTGAAGCTCTGACAATGTCATCTACAACATGCAGCAATGCTGTAGTGCAAACTGAATCCCTTCCGAAACCCAGACTGAACCGACGGTAAAATGTTGAATTCTGAAATGTGTTCCAATAGTTGTACTTCTATGGCTTTCTCTAGTATTTTAGATACAGCCGGAAGTACACTAATGGGTCGTAAGTCTTTAAACTCAATGGGAGTATTTTTTTTGTAACACTTTCACAACAGCACTGCCCCACATCTTAGGAAAAACATTTTCAATTAGGCAAACGTTTATTATGTGACTAATGTTCTCAACAATATGCGGACAACATAGTTTTATACGCATTATATTCAAATTATCACAACCAGTTGCATTTGTTTTAATATCACTTATTGTTTGGAAAACAAAAAGATCACTCACTTCTTTGAAACAGAATTTTGAGGTAGTTGAACAGTTAGTTTTGTATTCAAGTAAGTTTGGTGGAGGTTCCATCATTGGTATAGAATTAACAAAAAAATCATTGACCTCATCAACACTTTTCAGAAAATCTGGAAAACTTTTCTCCTTATCTAAAATTATTTTATTTTGTTTCAGGATACGCTAAATTTTTTTCGAGTCATTTTGTTGAAATTGAAAAGTAAGAATGCAGGAAAGTTCTTTGTATAGCGTAAATAAGCATCAAGAAAGGGAATCAGAAATTTCCACCTCCCAAGAGGGAAAATAGGGGTACAAAGATTGTATTGAGTTTCGTCAATTTTGAAGTTGGAAACCTGAAGTTTTGGGTTGATAAAAAAATATTGTAACTATTTGTTTGAGATGGTCAGTCACGAAACTTAATGCGACAAACCAAATTCTACGCGGACAAAAACTAGTTATTTATATTTGCCCTACACTAGGATGACTAAGTCGTCTGCATGTCCCTTTTTTTGAGCCCAATATGGTCTAGAATATCGAGTAACTCGGTCATTACAAGGTTACATAAATGCAGGGACGAAACCCCTATGGAGGGCAACCCCCTGTCACCCATGCCTACGGTAGTACAATTTCTTAGCTCTTTTTTCGATAGACAAAATTATTAAATACGACAAGTTGCTGATTGATACAACATTTTTCTTTGCGACACATACTTTGAATTTAAAAGTTTGCACATACTACACCAGTATGAAGTTCCCCGTTGCAATTTTTATATCTGAAAAGATAAAAATATAAAAAAAGGTTGATGAATAAGTTACAGTTACTAGTGAATTTGATTAGACCCAATAAAATAACTGACAAGAGTTCTACTAATTCCATGAAAAAAGTCCTTATATGCTGGAAAAACGTGACATTTATTATTATGCACAATTGCATTGTATTAAATGCCGAGGCCGATCAAGTCGAGTGGCATCGTGGCGTCTATGGCATAACAAAATACTATCAATTATTCATCTGCATGAAAAACCCGAACGTTACCATACATGCATGGTTTTATGTCCAAACCGACATCCTCATTTTTCTTATCTATCCGGCCAGAGTGAACGCACTCCGCATAAGCAACATCCTGTATTATCTAAATCACAGACACTCTCATCAGCGTGAAAAATTATACACAACTGATTTCTTGAATATGGTAATGCTCAATAGCATTTCTCTGGGAATTTGTTTTTCTAGACGGTTGGAACGTAAAAGAGGAATAATTATTCCCTAATTATATTGTGAATCAATAAATAAGCGGATCTCCAGGCGAGTAGACGTCAGGATATTATTTATTTTGATTGGAAAATATAAGATGAAGTTGAAGTACTTCAATGAAGGTCATCGATAGGATGCAGATGTTATTGAAACATCGCATAAAGCTTATGTATAATATCAAATGTCAAACTATATAACTAGATACATGGCTGGTAATCTTCGTAGTAAAATGAACATTTTAATATGAGAGTTCTGCGGTGACAGTGGTATCAAAAGTTGTACAATTTCAAAAATTAAGAAAAGAAGGAGTATTTCTTACATTGAAGGGGGTATATTTTTTGGAGAGATTAGTTTTTGGAAAAGATAGGTTCTGGCTTTCTACTTTATACCATCTTTATACCAACAGGAGTATTTAAAACATCTAACGAAAGAAAGAAAACAAGATAAAAATAAATTTTCAACAAAGATGTGTCGATCATGCATAGAAGTGACTTTCAGCCCTTTGCTACATATCTTCAACCTTTCACTGAAAACATCTACGTTTCCGGAGATTTGGAAAACAGCACGAGTATGACCTATCTTAAAGAAAGGGGAAGCAACTGTTATAAAAAATTACAGGTCTACTTCTATATTAAGCAATTTCTCGAAACTTTTCGAAATAATTCTATACGGTTTTATCTATAACTCGATCAGAAATATAATATCGGACGATCAACATGGGTTCGTGGAACAAAAGTCATGTGTGACCAATCTTGCATGCCTTTCACATGTTTCAGATGCTTTAGACCAAAAGCAACAAGTTGACGTAGTTTATACGGACATGCAAAACGCGTTTGACCAAATTGATTTTTACATCATCATTCAGCGACTATCATCGTTTGGCTTTTCTGGAAGTTTAATTGATCTTTTCACAAGCTACCTCTTTGACAAACAGCAATACGTAGAACATGAAGGTTTTCAGTCCCCTTTGTACACACCTAGCTCACAGGTACCACAAGGTTCGAACTTGGGGCCTCTTTTATTTCTGCTTTTCATTGATGAACTGCCCAAAACTTCTTTACGCTGATGATCTAAAGCTATACGAAGTAGTTGAAAATTATGAAGACTGCTTGATTTTACAAAATGAAATCGATTTAGTATTCGACTGGTGTTTCAAGAACCATTTACGTTTGAACATTCAAGAATGTTAATACGATTATATCACTGTTTAATGCATATGTGAGGTCTAAACTAGAATACGGCGTGTTAATATGGTATCCAATTTAAAATATCTGTCTTTCAAGGTCACATGAATATATCCTCAGAGGGGAACCGACTATTCTATCCTTCTGAATCAATTTGTTGTAATATCTCTGAATACACGACAGAACTAAAAGTTTTCCTGTTCCTACTGGGTCGTGTTTTACCTGTTCCTCCTTTTGGGAAAAATATTTTTGAAACTTGTCTGTTTCCACGTTACTTGTCTGTTCAATGATTACATTGGAAAACGAAAAAATTTTTCAAAGGGGTTCTCAAATAAAATTCGTACACCTCGTTGAAGTAATTTCCAGCGAGCATTGACTTGAGGTCTGAGAAAAAAAGTCGATGGAGGCCAGATCTGGAGAATATGGTGGATGCGGAAGCAATTCGTAGGTCAATTCATGCAATTTTGACAACGTTTTCATTGATTTGTGACATGGTGCACTGTCTCAATGAAACAGCACTTTCTTTTTCTTCTGATAGGGTCGCGATTTCGTCCCTCAATCGCTGCAATAACGCTATGTAATAGTCGCTGCTGATGGTTTTTTCCTTTTCAAGATAGTCGATGAATATTATATTTTCGGGAGTTCTTTATTTTTTCACGTATTATTGGAGACATGGAAAACGAAAAAAATCTTTCAAAGGTGTTCTCAAATGAAATTCGTAACCCTCGTTGAAGTAATTTCCAGCGAGACTTGAGGTCTGAGAACATAGAAAAGTCGGTGGAGGCCAGATCTAGAGAATACGGCGGTTGCAAAAGCAATTCGGAGCCCAATTCATGCAATTTTGTCTTAATGAAACAGCACTGTTTTTGCTTCACTTAAAATGTTCTATTCCACAAACTAATAATCCGACAGCTGTGAAATTTGTACACGTGTCTTTTGAAGGTTAGGGTTAATTAAAAATCATATGGATTTTATGCTAGTAGCGCCACCTCTGTTTTAGCCCACGAATTTTTCAGCCCACCTAGTATGTTAACGTGAATTTACCGAATCTGTAAATGAGGTTGATGTATGGAGGGCTGCAACTCCGACCCTCCTCCTGGACGCGTCAATAATATATTCGTTACCATCTCCTATTCACTTTTACACTTCACTTATTAATAATATCGACTCACCTTGTGAAGACATCAAATTCAAAATTTGATATGTAATCATTACAAGTCAGGTCGAATGAGCAATATTATATGATGGAATTGGCCAATATGTTGAAAATTCATAACTAACGTATTCAAAAAACACTTTATTGTGAGATTTTCACTAAACAATTTTACAAAAACGCAAAAACGCTTCTTCCGGCTTCTCTTTACTAACTATATTCTACATATTCAATGCTTAATATACCTAATTTTACAATTTGAAGTACATACAATTCAAGTACCTGATTTTTAATGAATTAAATTACCTGTGCTTATGTCGTAACACGTCGCATTCATAATTGAATTCATGTTCTTCTGCCGAAAGGTGGTTTGCAAATGTGGAATTGGTCTTTCTATTTACAAAACTACTTCTATGCGCTTTAATTCTTTGGGAAAATGTTCTCCCTGTTTGGCCAATATACAGTAAATAAATACAAAACACTGGTTTCACTTGAAATATAGTCGTTTTTTAGTACTTGAATGGATGCAATGTCAAAACATTATCTTCTGATGAATTTGATTCTAAATTTCTCTTAAATTTCAATTGTTCAAAACGGAATTGGAATATTCACATGAAGAATTGTGTTATTGTGAAACCATTACTCAGTATTGCACAGGTAAGCGGACGTTTCACCCTGAAATTTTCCATACAGAAGAAAAACAAACATTATACTGCCGAATTCAATGAAAATTCAAAAGTCGCACATAAATTCCGCCCTCTTTCCGAAACGTGTAGGCGGAAAAAAATCGTGTTTTCGTGCTTCAAAAAGTTCTGCGTTGGCGGCCCCTTCTGCCAATCGTGATCATAATTTTAATTTATAATGCACCGTTACAGGAAGAGAAGCACTGCGATATATACAAAGTGTCTGTGAACAAATTCCTCGCAGCTACGTTACGGTATACTTTGTCTACGTCTATGAAAGTTAATGGACTTCGAGATTTGGTGGTCGTAATTATTGTCTTCCCAAGGTGAATTACGGCCACTGAGATAGTGGAGAATGTGGAGGAGGAAATCGTGGTATCAAGGAAGACTTCTCCTCGAAAGCCTTTAGTTATTTTTGTCAAATTTTGCATTTTTCGAGGGAAACTCATAAAACTTTTTATAGTGCTTGAAAAAAACCTTTATTTATGTCTTTCATGAAAATTCCCAGCATAAAAACTAAGCGAGTTATGACAAAAATGTATTTCATGGTGCATTTCATTAGTTCGGACTTCCATTGTATAATATGATATGAATTGATTTGAAATCTCTGAAAGAATCTGTAAAAAATTAAAAAGATTAGTTGAAAAATAACAATTTCATTAAGAAAAAAACTGAAATTACAATGGAAGCAACAAACAAGCAACAACAAAAAAATCGAACTATCAAAACGAGCTGAAAATTAAAAATTATTAATAAGAAACCAAGTTACTTCACGACATTTCGATTCTTGGTATCAACAATCGTCTCCGGGTGATGACAGACTAATTCCTCCTAGAGATGACTATTTATAGGTCATTCGAGTGCTTTCATCTATCCCCTCTTTCCTCTCCCCGCTTCATTGGTTTTAGCGGGAGCTGACCGTTTGGCAGGAGTTGGTCGTGTTTCGCTTAATTAGTGATTTCCATATGTAACGCATCTCTACGCTTGCTTGACTAGATGCGTTGTTGGACAACATGTATGCGGCTTCTTTGAATTCTCTCATAAACCAGTGTTCCTCCTTGTGGATGATTTCAGCTTGAGCCCACTTGATGTTCTGTTGATGAGTCCAAACAAACTTTGCTATTCCGGATTTGCTGGTTTCTCCTCGCTGTGTGTGTTTCTTGTGCTCGGCAATGCGAACTTCAAAAGGCCTCTTAGTTTCACCGATGTATGATTTCCCGCACTCGAAGGGTATCTGGTAAATGCAATTCTTGGAATCGCAGTCCGCGTTTGGTGGTCTGGTTTTCGTGAGGCTGCTACGGATAGTGTTCCCAGATCTGAAACAGGTGTTATACTTGGACCCAATCCTTCCTATCTTTTCCGACAATCCTCTGATGTAGGCGCCTCTGATGGCGGCGCCTCTTCCTTGTGGAGCTCTTGCTGTCTTCTAGCTAAAGCCTGTTCCATCATCACTTTGGAGTAACCATTCCGTTGAAGGTCATTTTTGATGATTCCTAGTTCCTTTTCGATACCTTCCTTTATATCACAGAGCCCGAAAGCACGGTCTAGTAGAGTCTTGATGATTCCTCTCTTAGTCGATTGATGGTGGTTGGATTCCTGGTTCAGATAATGTCCCGTGTGAGTGGATTTTTAGATATACAGATGTTTCCCATTTAGTGTCGGTCTTCTTCACCAATACGTCTAAGAATGGCAATTCGGTGTGGACTTCCTTCTCCATTGTGAAAGTGATGGAAGGACTGACATTTTTGATGTGCTTCAGGAACGTGTCTAGTTCCACATTCCCATGGTCCCATATTATGAAGGTGTCGGAGCTTCCTGTAGGCTTCTTCAATGGCTAGAGTTTCAAACCACTCCATAATGCCTTGATAATGTCTTGATAATGCCATCTCAGATGGCACGAGTTACTGCTTCGCTTCGAGAGGTGTAACTGATGTTAGGTTCTTCTTGTGGTGTTTTTATATGGCTTCGCTTGCGTAAGTTGTATGGATTTGTTACCTGTTTTTCCACGTGAGGGTTGTTGATGGCTTTTGGCGGTTCTCCTACCTATATTTCTACCTGAGGGTTGTTAATGGCTTCTGGCGGTTCTCCTACCTGCGATGGTTCATTATCAATTTGTGGTTGTCTTTGGTGGTTGTTTATTTCGTTACCTCTGCACCCATTGAATACAATTCGTTCATTTTCTATCGAAAGACACGTTTCCACGTGCAAGCTCATTAATTCAGTCACGTCGACGTCGCAGTGAATAAACAAGGCTACCTGTTGAAAACACAAAAGGCCTTAGACGAATGAATATTTGTATCAAATAACCGTATGTCTTAATAATAGACTCATAATTTATTCATCAATGAACTTTCATGAAAGGAAAATACTGACCCAAAAGTGTTTACCACAATTTTTGTCCAAAATGCACAATTTGTTAAAAAAAAATGACAAACCCAACCGATTTTTACAAATGTGTAATATATTTATGAATGCTAGGAGTCACACGTTAAAAGTTAAGACCTCGTTGGTCCTTAGCTCGCACAAGTTTCGAATTATGAGAGTTATCGTTCATAGGTTAAGAGAAAAACGGATAGAATTGGCCGATACTTGATGAAAATCCAAAACGTATTCAGGTAACACTTTATTGCGATATTTTCACTGAATAGTTTACAAAACTACAACACGGGTTTCGCTATAATATAATAATAATATCGTTTACTATGCATAAAAAATACATTTATACATAAAAGGTAATGGGTTAGCCAAAGGCTGTCTTCCACCCCTTATACAGTGAGTGTAAGAAAATAATTATAAAAATACTTATTTACTATAATAACAATGATAGAGAAGACAAAAAAATAATAGATCATATAGTTGCGAATAACTCTTAAAATTCTCAACATTATTTTGGTCAATTTAACAATTTCATTACACTACCATACATTGAATTTAAATTTTTTTAAATTAGCACTGGGCAGTAGGCATCTGTGATTTTATTTATTTTTTAAATTGCTGAATATTACGATTTAAAAGGGGTAAAATTTCATTCAGATAAGAAGGGGCTATATAAGAAAAACATCCTTGAAATTTGGAAGTACGGAGCCTAGGTATGTTGAATGAGTTAATTCTCAAATTGACCATAAGTATGTCAGAATTCCTGCTTAATAAACTATATAAATAACTAGTTGTTTTAGTTTGAAGCAACTTAAACAAAAAAATTTTTATCAAATATTGGACTCTGTACCTCATATTCAGCTCCTTCATTTTTAACAAAACTGGTGTGACATGTTCACCATATGGTATACAGCATACGAATCGCTTGCAAGCATTTTGTATACGTTGTAACTTCTGCTTGTTATATTGCGGCAAAAAACTATAATACACCGAACAACATTACTCCATACGGGGGTAAATAAGAGTTTTAACTAACCTGAGTTTCATTTCTTCTGATAACTGATACTTGAATTTGTAGAAGGATTTGAGTTTGAAGAATGATACTTTGAAAATGTTTGTCACATGTTCATGAAAAGACAAAGAGCTATTCTATGGTTACGCCAATATTTCTAGCACTGTCAACCCAGTCAATGTCTGCGTTATCGAGAGTGAGCCTAAAGTTACACTGAATTTCTACTATTTGTCTTTGATACCCTAAGCATAAGGACAAAGTTTTATTTGGATTGATTTTCAGTCCATAATTCTCCGAGTATAGGAATGTGTTGTGCAAATCTGTGTTTTATATTGGCCACGCAACTTTCTGATGTATCGGTGTTATGAGAAGACAAATATAACTGTATATCATCTGCGTATAGATGTAATTGACAATGTGATGAGAAAGTGGGGTGGTCAAAAATAAACTCTAAAAACATCAAGGGTCCTAAAATACTTCCCTGCGGTACACCTGAAATTGTTTCTTTTAGGGATGACCATGAGTAATCATCCAATTTGACCCTCTGTGATATGTATATTGTTAAGCCTCCAATGAAACGCTACTGAGCGTAGAGATCCGACGTAATGTCAGATCATCATCAAAAGTATCAATATTCACTAATAAATGAGAATTCGAGTATTTTTTTCCAAACGGCCGAAAATGGTATACGTGGGCTCTTCAAAAAATAAAGTGAATATTCAAATTTCGCGGACTATGTACATTTTTCATGTTGGTACACTCGGCTCAAACATATGTTCACAGTTTCAGCTATTTAGCATGTCAACTTTGTAGATGAGAGGCATACAAGTTTGAAGTGTTTTGCGTGTTAGGCGATTTTCCGCCATCGAAAAAAATGGATCAAAGAATTTGCATCAATTTTCTGTAAAATATGGAACTAAGTGCACAAAAACACTTAAGAAATGTTGACAGTGACATACGGTGATTGTACTCTGAGTCAGAAAAATGTTCACAAGTAATGACG